TTGAACAGGTTTAAGAGGAACACAGGTGTTCCCCCCTCAAAGAGGAATTTGCTCTCATTCATATTTAAGAAGATGCAGTGTTTCTGGTTTCCTATGAACTGCTTTCTAATTTCCTGTGATTTGTGGGGACTTCCCTGGTGCTTCTGTGTGGATCCTTGATAAAATGCACACACACACATTTGTGAGGCTTCAAACAGGTAGCCAGCATGCCCAAGCAGGCTATGGGGGTGGACACCGGAGCAGGGTGGGTTGCTGTCCCAGGAAGGATCTTCCAGAACACAAGGAAGGACAGAAAGCTGGAATGAGGGTGAGTTCAGATGGAAAAGGGTCAGTGGATGCTGCTGAAGTTCTCCAGACAGCAAAAGGCAGGGGGAAAAAAATGAGTTCTCATTTAAATCCCCCAGTTCTTAAAGCCCCTTAGACAGAGATAACCTGTTGTGATGATCGTCCCTGCCTTTTGAACAATCTTTATGCCCCTTTAGAGTAAAGATGATTGGTTCATTTTCAAGTGAGACACAGGCCCACTGACTGCTTGCCCAACATGTCACCACACAGGTAGCAAAGCACAGACTTGAATTCAGACATTAGGAAAAATTATCTGCAAGTTGGATATAAGGCCATGAGCATTTAGGATGGCCTTTAGATGCCCTGCTGGGTATTGTTTAACACATCTGCCTCCAGGATTAATTAATTATCTAGGGGAAGGTAACTAACTTTGTTTCATTCTACTAAATGACTAAAATTTCATCTGTGAGGTTACATGCTAACTTGTAAATATTTTGGGGAAGAGAAGCAAATAATTCCTATTCAGTCAAAAGGTTATCAGAGGTTATCTTTTTTATAGGACAATAATCAGTTTTCTATTGAACCCAGCTATTTTATTCTACAATTGCTTTTTATGTCCCTATAAATACTTAGTTCCTCAAAACGCTCTTTGGACAAGATTTGCCATCTTACTGGTTCACTCATTCATGAGTTCATAAATCTTTGGCATGTGCTTCTTTTATATTTGTATGACAGTCATGTTTTTAACTTTTTAAAAATTCTGTTTCTTGCTACATTAGAAAGCCAGCATTTCTTCCTCCAAAATAGCTTCTTTATGGCACCACATACCCCTCCTAGGGGACACTGGACACAGTGATACAGACAATTGACTGTGTGCAAGAACTGAAGAGTATTTGAGGGCTTCCTCCTCACTGACCCACATGTCCACCATTAGGGCTTTCCTGGGATTCAGCATGTTATTCCCTTCATTGATTTCAAAATCCTGCTCTTGGCAGCTGAGACAGGCCACCACCAAATGAGGAAGGGGCTTTGAACCGGTTCTCTGGGCAGCCGACAGACTGGACCAATGGTCTGAGCTGCCTACAGGGCATAAACAACACCTCCTCAACCAATCTGTGAATGACACCCGGTTTTGTGAGCTCACTGAAATGCTCAGGGAAGGAGGCTTAGTTCCTGCTTGGGATATTTTTCCTCTGGGCAAAACTAATTGATCCACCAGAGAGCAAACCCTTGACTTCGGCTTCATTAGTCCCTCATAGCGCCTCAAAATTAACCACTCCAATTCACTCAAAGAAAAAACACAAGGAAGCAAAGAGTTTAATGGGATTTGAGAAAGAAGGCCTTCATTTTACATACTTAACAGGTCACTGACAACTCTTCACACTTTACTGAGAGAACCATCTGCGCTATTAGCAGGTCATTTGACCTCCTCTCTTTAAAACCTCTCTGAGCTCAGAAAACAACTCTGATAGCTCCCAGAATAGAAGGTGGTCTGGGATTCTAGCCTGACCACTGTCTGCCAGGCAGATTTGCTGGCTATAGGCGTCTCCCAGCAGTTAGATTCTTGCCAGGAGTATCAGGCTGCATTCTGCACCTTCTGAAAGGCTCTGTCTGCCCGAGTTGCCCCTGGTGCTCCGTCTCTGTACTTTGTATTCAGCATCGACCCTGTTCAGAAGGAACCGTGCTGTGTAGTATGGAGCACATTGGATACGGAAATTCTGCCCTCAAGAGTCTTTCTATCTAGCAAGGATATAAGACAGATCACATAGGGTAGAAAGTGACTAGTCATTCACAAATATTCAGATCCCATTATGTGTCAGTTAATATGAACCAGGCATTCAGTGGAAAGCAAGGGACAGTGCCCTTGTCCTTTAAAATGAGTTCGATAAACATTTGTTGAAAAATTGTTCAGCACCCATAATAAACAGGCATTCTTTCATTTAATTTCCTCCTCTCGAGTTCTTTTAGCAGATAAGGAAGTGAGGGCTCATAGATGTTAGGTGACTTTCCCAAGGTCACTTACATGGTGACTAGTAAACAGGATTCAAATGCAGAAATGTCTGACTTGAAAGATGCTCCTCTTTGAACCTTACCCCATTTCCCATTAGCATTTTATGGATGCAGCTTCCCTCTATGCAGTTGTGGCCAGTGCCTTTCCAAACCAGGGAGCCTCATGGGACACAGGTTGGTAAACAGTATGGCATCCACTGCTAGTCCCAGATAAGGACTCACAAAGACACGACTGATGCACACAACCCACAGGGACGCTTAAATCCATCTCTGGTGGTCCCTTGATGTCCTCTGGCATAAACTATGATCCACTTATTTTCCTTTCAACAGAATGGAAGAATGCAGAGGCAGAGAAGAAAGTGTAACGTGCCTTCTAGAGACAGGGCACAAGTTCCACACCCTTCCTTTGGATTCTTTCAGCAGGGCTGACCCCACACAGAATGCACAGTCACTACACATCATAGCTGAAACTCCAACGTGGCTTCCTAACCAAAAATGGTATTCTCCCCGCTACCATCATTTTGCATTAACCCAAAAGAATTGTTTTAAATCCTTCTCCTTTACAATTTTGAGGGGAAAAAAAGAGCAATTTGGGTCTTTCACATCTGAACAAACCTGGGTTAGTGATCTAGGACAACCTGACCCTGTATACCCAGCTCTTCAGCTCCCCCCAAAGCACCCTTGTAATTCCAGGTGATCCTTTAGGACTCAGATCAGTCATCTCCTCCAGAAAGCCTTCTCGGATTCTGCATGTGTACACACACGCACACAGACTAGTTCTCCTGCTGCAGGCTCTCACACCCCTCCACACTGCCCTTGGCATAGTGTATGCTTCACTGCATTGTGCCCAGGCCTTCCCAGTAAAGCACCTGTCTTCATATTCTGAAAAAGAAGGAACTGTATCTGGTCTTCTATTTCCAACAGTCTAAGGGTCTCAGGAACAGCTGCCCTGACCTGCTTGTACCCAGTTCCCTAGAGGCATGAAATTCCATGTTGTAATAGCTGGATTTCTTCCCTTCATTCCTAATCCATGACTAGGCAGCCAACCGGTCATTAAAGAAAATCATTTGGGCAGATTTCAGGAACATCTGACCCAGCTCTCTTCTGCAAGTATATACAAACAGGAAAATAAAACAGGACAAAGAACTTTAGGCCACGTGGTTTCACCTTCATTTCCATTACCAGTTTAACCTACGATCAGAAGTAAAAATGTTTAAATGCCTTTCCTCTGTCAGCATGGTAACCAAGATTCAGTGGAGCTGGGTTTACCATTTAAAAATTCACTTGGGTGGCTAGAGTCATTTTATCAAGCTGAACACAGGTTAATCTGAGTAAATTAGATAGTTTCCTGTGTCTGGGCAGACAGTACCTTTAAACAAGTGCTTCTCAAAGAATGGCATTAAGAAATGTTTTACAGGACTAGGGATGTGGCTCAGTGGTAGAACACCTGCCTAGTATGTGTAAGACTTTAGGTTCAATCCCCAGCACTGCAAAATAAAGACGAAAAGAAAGAAAAGAAATAGAAGTATTTTGCATACATTAAGCCCATGGACCTAAAAATAAAAGTAAGACTCAGTACCAAATCAGCAACCCTGAACAGCAGACTAGAGAACCTGGCTGGTACAGATTAGAGATATGGTTATAAAAGACTGCTATTCAGTTTATCTTTCATTTCCTACACAGCTAGTGATGGAGGAATCGCAAATCATATTATCATTGCACTTACACACTTTTTTAATCAACTAGAGAAAAGAACACACTTTCCTTGATATTTTATTTCCTATTTCAAAAAAATTGATTTTTCTAGAAATTTAAATTTGCTCTTTCTATTCACCAAGAGAATTGTCTAACTTCTGCATTAAATCTGCTCAATCTTGGTTTAGTTTCAAGTTGAGACCTTATTTCATCTCCAGACATGCACAGAGTGCTTGGTATCCTATATTATTTCTCACTCTTGGACACAATTGCTTAGCGAGGCAGGAAGCCTGCTGGGTAAATCAAACCGGCTACTTTTCACTCTCTAGATTTCCTTTAGGTATGTGAAATCAAACCCATACAACATCTCCTCCTGCAATCAAGATTCAAAGATCATAATGAATCCGTTGAACTAAAGCACAGGGATATTTTTTCTATGTTTTTAATCAAGTTTATATTTAACTAGAAATTTGTTTTTAAATAAATGCTAAGCTTTTCTCATTTAATTATTTGCTTTGCTTTGTAGACTATAAAATACGAAAGTGGGTTAATATTCTTTGTGTTCTGGGTTTTATTGACATTTCAAAGGCAGATAAAAGCTGAGAGATTTCTAACAGAGGAGTTGTGTACACAATACTGTCTCCTGAAAGGTGACTCAAACCAAAGAAGACAATGACCTAACTCGAAAGGCGTCCAGCTTCCTTTTTCTTCCCTCAGGAGCATGATATTCTAGAACCCAACAAGGACCAAGGAGCAGCTTACAGAGGGCCCTCATAGCACCAATAATATTCATCTCAGTGGAGAAATTTGGACTTGGCTCAGACCATCTGCTGTCACTGCAGCCCAAGGTTGCCTTTCATTTGGAAATCATGCTGTCAACTTGGTTTAGAATAAACATGGGTGAAGCATATGCTTATCCTTGCTGCCCAGAGAGATGTTGGCATGAAGAAATGGGAAGGCTCCTGATTGAAGCTTGTGTTTATAGATTCTCCTCTTCTCTTCTCCCCTAGTTACAGTGACCGTGGGAGGAAAGCAGCACCTGCTCGGACTCTATGACACTGCAGGACAGGTACATTTTTATTATCTGAATCCATTAAGGGCTAGGGAAGGGGGTGTATGAGAAAGAATGGTCCATTTGGCTAGGCATATGGGGACTAACCGCACTGGTATCACCCATTCTGATCATTTGAGGCCAATTTATTTTCTACCTAAATGACAACCAAAATCACATTTCTAATATTTTTTTAAATTTATATTACAAAAATCTAATTCATTATTATAGCCAAGGTTTTGATAAATAATGATTTAGTCATTTACTGACAACCATCAATAACCAAAATAATATATTTGTTCAAGAGTTTTGCAGTTTCCTCCCACCAAACCTAGTCCTGATTCAGGCTTAAGGGGATGATCTCATAAATTTTAGTTTTACTGTCTTTTCATGTTATTTTCTTTGCCCATCCTTCATTCGAATTGACTAATGGACTATGAAAGGGTCTAAAAAGAGCCTGTGGAGGAGGCATCAGGAGGCAGGAAGACAACAGATTAAGTGTTGGAAGAAAAGCCAGGATTCTGGATATTTTCCAAAGTGAAGAACTGGGAGTTGACTCTAAATTCTCTAAGATTCTTGAAATACTTCCTCTCTGACAGCAATGTTTCCTCAAGTTGGAGAACCTGGGCAAACAATAATGTAAAACCATGGACTAGAGTCCTCAGCTCTTAAATGGTACTGTCTCCTTGGGTAAAAAGATTGGATGCCCTTGACTGTCTGTCCTTGTGCCCCGCACACACATCCTTATGAAGTTTCTGATGCCCTGAGTTCATAGGCTGGAGGAGGGGAAGGTAATAAGCAGTTGGTGGCTGTGGCCCAAATTCTTGGATAGAGCTTGTTATCATATGTTGCGGGTCACTGATTTAGGTCAGAATCAGCGGGTTGTTCAGTCTGTCCAAATTCATACATTTTAAGTCCTTTGGAGTAAACATTTGACCATGTTATTTCCCACTGTGGGTTTCCTGGTAATGATTACTTATGCATTTGCCTCGCCCTTTTTGCACAATTATCTGAAGTTATGTCATTTTGCTCCACTTGAAAACTCCCTGCTAGAAAATAAATAAGTGAAATCTTTGCGAGGAATTCTGTGTGCATCTGCAAGCACCACGGTATAAGATGTATGTGGGACGTCAAAGGCTGGTGTTGTGCAGGCTAGGATGGGGACCTGGGAAATCTAGCACCAGACTCAAGGCTCCTAGGAGCATCTGATTTTCTCTCATGGGCAGATGGGAGTGGAGGTGACCTCTCACATCAACAGTAGGACCCGTAGCTACAAAATGATGCCCACCTCCCCCACCTACCCCTCCTTCCCCCCCACCCCCCATTTTCATTAAACTGGAAAAATCAGTTTGGCTCCTCTTCACGAAAGTTCAAGGACCTCAGTACAGGTTGTCTCCTCCACCATAAAGCAGTCCAGCTGCAGTGATGCACTGTTTGGGGGGTGGAATTGCCAACTCTAATCCAATCACACAATCGTTGAGGTGTCCCATTCTTCAGGGATACTTAACCACTGAGCCACATCCTCAGCCCTTTTTTGTATTTTATTTAGATACAGGGTCTCACTGAGTTGCTTAGGACCTCAATAAGTTGCTGAGGCTGGCTTTGAGCTTGTAATCCTCCTGCCTCAGTCTCCCAAGCCACTGGGATTACAGACAAGTGCCACTATGCCAGGCTCGTAGTCAAATTTTATGTATATAATCCAGTTTGAAAAGTTCAATACGAGGATTATTTCATGACGCTGAAACCTGATTCCCTTGCTTTCTCCAAAGCCCTCTATGCCCCTGGTGCCCATCCCATTTTCCCCTTTTTCTGTGACAATTTTTTGCTCCTGTACATTAATTGCCCCCAAGAACCACCTCTCTAGGCCTCTATGCAATTTCAAATCCAATAATACTGTTTAAAAGCTCTTGTGGAGTTTAATTATTTTTTCCCACTGCTCTTGTCCTTTATAAATTTTTAAAAAATACTATTAGTATAAGAGTCAAAGCTATCAGACATTGTAAAAATATCATTAAACTCCAAATCAAAGCAAGTAGATTGGCCCAGACCTTTGACACAGAAATGATAAATACTGATAATAGAATAACAAATGGGTTCTAGATATTTCTTCAACTTAACTGTGACTTTAATGCTTTCCACCAGTTATTTTGAAAGCTCAGAAGGGGACAAGGTTTACAGTGGGTATAAAGCACAGGAAAAAGGAATCAGAATAGCTCTTAAGCTTCCTTCTAGACCTAAAAATTCTATGATTAGGACCTTTAAAAAGATAACTTCAAGAAAGCCTGAAAGAACTTGAGTATTAAGCAAAAGGATGAGGCCAGACCCAAGGTAGAACTTTTGGTAGATTTCAAATCCTGGGATGTTATACTGAAGGATAACCAATCAGTTATTTTCTAGAACAGTGGTTCTCAAACTTAAACACAAATAAGTCACCTATAGGGCTTGTTAAAAAGCCAGACACTGGACCCACCCCCAGAATTTCTGATTCTATAGGTAAAGTCCCCAAAATTCTCATTTCTAGCAGGATTCCTGGTACTGGTGCTGCTGGTCTGTACAGCATACTTTGAGAATCACTGTTCTAGAAAATTGCCAAAGTTTGATCCACTGACCAGCAGATCAGCATCACCAGCAGTATATTAGAAATGCAGACTCTGGGACTTCTCCCCAGTCCACTGAATTTGAAAATTCACTTTATATGCACATTAAACTTTGCAAAACACTTACTCTTGAAGTCTTTGGTAGTTGAAGCCCTGTTCCCAAAGTTGATTCCTGTGATCCTACAATACAGCCAAGAAGGCTTTTAACAAATTTAATTTAGAAGCATTGCTCCAAAAGTTCCATTCCCAGTCCTAGGTAGGATAATCCACCCCTCCTTGGTTAGATTCTAGTGAATGTTGCTGAGGTCTCATGACTAGGGAATATCTAACTAATTCAAGATTACGCACTTGGCCAGTTACTAATGAGGAACAAGAGATGATCTCAAAACCAATTGATAATCCCTGAACCACAAAAAATGAAATAAGTCTCTGAATCTGGCTATGGAGTTCCATCTTGCTTGAATAATTAGATTTTCTTACATGAATAAACCAAAGAGCAGTGCCCCTCGTTTTTGTCTTGAGCTAACCATGGGTCAGAGTTGACAAAAACCACCTTAAGAAGCAAATGCGTTCTGAGAGGTAAAGTGACCGGAACTCATTACTTCTACCCACAAAGTCAGCCTTGCACAAAATCGTTTGACCTGGTTCCTCCTCTGCTGAGGTACTCGCCTGCCTCAGGCATGGCTGCCGCAAAGCCCTGGCTCCAGTCACTCCTGCCCCTTCACAGTTCAGCTGAGCACTTGATAAAGACATTTTATAATGAAGTCAACACGCAGACGCTGTCAGCTGCCTCCTCAACCCCCTGAAACAAGCTAATATTTGGACTTTGAGCAGAGCCCTTTGAAGATAAAGAGTCTTCAGAACTCTGGTTCATCTGTTGGGTAGGATTCCAAACATTAGGTTAGACAATGAAGTGGGGGGATTTACCTCTCAGATCATGTTAGGGAGGGATAAGGCCAATCCTCCAGCCAAATCTATTTAGGTCGAGCCAACTCGTCCTGCACGGCACATGCCTCTTGCAGTGTGTTGCTGAAAAGGATTTCTAGAGCTCAGATCTTGCACTCTGCTACAGAAAGAGTGCCAGAGCTGACTTCCATGATGTGCTCTAGGCAGACCAGTTTGTTTATAGCATGTCGTGAGAGATCAAGGGGAGAGAGGAAGCAAACCCTGGGCTTTCACAGCCTGAGGAATGCCAAACTGGGAGAGGGGTCTTTCCTAGGTCATGCTTCAGACCCACCCACGGCGGGTCACCTAGAGCTGGAGCCAGCAAAGGTACCAAGACGCCTTGCATCCCTCTCATCCCCCAATGTGAGCACACCCTGCTCAGATTGTGGCCTCTCGGGCCAAACTCCAGGATGGAAATATCTCAAAGACAGCATTTGCAAAAGTGGCAGGTAGCAGCACTGCCAGAAGTAAATGAGCATCTCCTGGTATCAGGAGCCAGGGGCAGCCTACGGTCAGTCTAGCCAGGCACCAAGCTTCCCAGCAGGGTAAATCCAGGAGTTTTCTACACACCAGCCTCACACAGTAGGGGGTGCATGTGGTGCTACCACCAGTAATTGTGGGAACAGGAAGCCATCAGCCCAGAGCCTCACTCACTCAGGACTGGAGGCTGCACTTCTCAACCAGAATCTGATTTCTGAAGCTCCTCTTTCCCCTGAGGGCTGAAGAAGCCCACAGGCCAGCAGGAGGGAAATACAGCTGGGGTTCATTAATGGCAACCCAAGGTCCACTTGGACACACACAGGCCTTTCTCTTAGCTATTGGCTGACCCCATGGAGCCATCTGGAGCACGGGATCTGGCCTCAACCCTCTATGGAAAGTTTGCCTAAAACCTCAGAACAAATGATTTTCCCTCAATAAGCAACTCAAACTTCCTTGTCACAGGCATTTACTGCAGTTTCTAGAAGGATGCATTCGGAGGATTAGGGAGCAGTTAGCCCACATGACAGGTTTTGGTAAAAGTAACCTGAGGACCAGATCTTACTTCTCCACAAACTATGAAAAATGAAACTGGAGGGAAGTTGACGGAGAGACGCAGAGTTTACAAACATTTGGATCTCATTACTACTCAGTTCAGAAAAAGTCAATTTCAGAGTCAGCCCTGGTATCCAGTGAGGGTAGGAAAACAGCGCCAAGAACTGCAGCTGTTGTTGACATGGATGGAGGATGGACTGTTTTACTCAGTCATTGAAGTGCTTACCATGCTCAAGACACCATTCCAAGTAGTGTACAGATATTAACACACTTTGTTCTCACAACAACCCTATGAGGCCAACACTATGATCATTCACATTGACTGATAAGGAAACCGAGGCAGAACTTACCCAAGACCACATCATAGTCACAGGCAGGGTAGGCATGTGAACCTGGAGAATTTGTTTCCACAGCTTATGCTCTTCAGCACCATCCTATGCACCCAGCCCATACACAGCATGCCCAGGTTTTCTAAACCAAGCCTCCCTTATGGGAGAATATGAAAATGAGATGGTGCTGAAAAAATCCAGAATAAATGTCACTAAAACCCACAAAGAATTGGAAGCAGAATTCTCTTCCCAGTTGTTTAATATGAGTCTGGGCCAGGAGCCGGGCTCAGCGCAACTCTTCTTGCTACTCAAAGTGTGGTCCCTGGACCAGCAGCATGGGCATTATCCAAAGACTTGTTAGAAATGCAAATCTGTGGGCTTTACTCCAGACCTGCTACCAAACAAGAATCTGCACCTTAACAAGGATCCCAGGTGACTCAAATGTGTGTAAAGTCTCACTAATCCACCACCTGTACCACCTTGATGCAGTTGTTCTCAAACATTTTTAGGACCCAGGTGTTTGGCCTATCTGCTACTGAGGCTTCCTCTGAACTTTTAAAATAATCATCCATAGTCCACCCCCCCAACCTCAGAGCATCAGGTACACCTTCACAGTGGACATTCTCTTTGTGACAACAAACCATGTTATATGGAATCATGCAACAGAACTTGCTCACTGGGTAAAGTTGGGTAAAAAACACTCAAAAGCCCAAAATCCCCCATCCCTTTGCCCACTTTAGCCCTCCAAAGCCCCATCAAGTGACTCTTGCAGGTTAAAACATTGTCTCTTTAAGAAGCTCACAAGAACCTATCTTTCATTCTCAATTTCAATATAAGAAGGGGCCTTAATAACAGCTGGACCATTCAACCCCTTATCAGAGCCCCTTGACATCATATTTCCACGTGATCATCCAACCTAGGGTCAAAGTGTGCTCCATCACAAAAATCATTCCAGCTCTCATCTGGCATCAGTTCAAAACCCCAACCTCCCACCACCAAACCCCCCAGTCCCAAGGGAACACTTACTTTTATCAATCCTGAACACCTGCCATGTTTCATAGCCATTGCCAAGGACCAGCCCCTACCAGCCCAGGTAAAGCCTTCTCAGAAAGTATTTTGGTTCTGTAATCCTGTTTAAATCATTCAATGCGTGAGTCCTTAGTTTCTGAAACTATAAAATTGGCAGGGGTGGTGGGTGGGGATAGCAGTAACCTGTGCTTCTGAAACTTATGACCCAGGTGCAGCAGCTTCTCCCCCAGCTTCATCTTCAGGAGGACTGGATGAGGCCTGAGAAAGCATGCTAATCATCTTCCAATGACGCCCATGCTGCTGGTCAGGGGGACCACAATTTGGAAACCACTGCACTAACTCATGTCTAAGGTGTCATTCTGCAGCCTTGACATTGGATTTTTCCAATTCAGTCAGTTAGAACATTATCAGACTAGCTAACAAAAGGCAAGCAAAAGTGCACCCCATTTCACATAAATGGGATGTTTCGTGCATTTCTTTTCCCAATTCAATTTCCAGTTCTCACTTACCGTGTATAGTTCATATAGCATCCCTGACAGTGCTACACGTTCAGTGACAACAAACCATGTTACATGGAATCATGCAACAGCACTAAGGTTTCCTCGGATCAGAAACACACTTCTCTCACCTTCCCACCTACACTTAGCCCAGCGAACCCTGGTCTTTAACTTTTGCATAATGTAAGCATAATGTATCTGGTAGCTGCTGAGTAAAGAATCAAATAAACATGATTCTTTCAGACCTGTTATTTGCTCCTACCTAACCTACTTTAGACATTTCTCCCAGTGGTGTTTTGTTTGGATTTTAGGCTTTGGGGTTTTAAAATACAGTGTCTGCTGCCATCGTGTGGTAGTTTTGAGCAGATGCAGCTATCAAATACACAACATACCCCATGGTCTACCACTTAGATCCCTGGGTAACTCAAGAACTGATTCCTAGATAACGGAGTTTAAGAAAATGCCTATTCTGTCACTTAAAATTCTGAGCTGTAGCAATAGTGTGGTCACAATTAAGAGCCAGATCTGAATGCAGCTGGATGCCTCCTTCTGGTATTTAACAACTCTGTTGCATTCGTCCATTATGGAAATTCTCTAAAAATGAACTTAATTCTCTCAACCTTAACTTTTTCTTCTATTGATGGTGCCATATTTCCAGTGCCATTGTGAAAGTTCAATGAGACAGTTCATATAACTGCTTGAAACAATACCTGGCCCTTAGCTATGAGCCCTCAACGCAGCCTCAGTTGATGGTAAAGATGATGCAAATCATTTGCCATCAAGTCCAGGCACACCCCAGGCCAAATGATGCAGGATTTGCAGGTAGTATCGTGCCCAGTTGTAGTTTATAGCCTCAGATTTCTTAGCATGCTTCTCTCAGAGGGAATAGTCCAGAGAAAAAGCAGCTAGGCAGGGAGACCATGGGAGAGAAAGTCTGGTATTTGGGGCTAGATATATAAAGAGGAGAAGGTAGTCCCACGAGATGAACTGTCCCAGCTGCCTTCCCTATACCTCATGCAACACAGGGGGAGATGTGGGCACAAGTCACTGAGAGGCAGCCTGGCCCAACTTCCCAGGATGACTAATGTTTATTCATCAGTGCACTCGACTTTCAATCATTTGCTTTAGTAGAAATGTGGTAAAGGAGCCCACAGTAACAGAGTTGCTATTGGTTGGTTGGTTGAGTTTTTAGGATTCTATTTTTCTCCATCCTTGCCATCTTGCATTGCATCCTATTTAGGTACCTAAAATCTTTGCTTAAGTTTTAATACTATTAGCACTAGTAACTGTGGTGGCCATGCATACTGAACCCCTGGGTACTCTGAATAGCCCAGTGATAGATCAATGCATTTCCACCAAACAGATGACCACACTTTGCCTTCTAAGGTTACTGCCTGTCACATATGTGTATATGTGTGCACATGTGTGTACTCCATTTTATAAACACTTTAGAGTCAATAGAAAGATAATGAGGTTAATATTAAAAATATGGAGAGGACATATTAAGTTTTTTAAAATAAGCACCACAAGAGTATGAACTGTATAATCAAATTGTTTTTACACTAACCATGTATATATTATATATATCAAATGTTTGGAAGGATAACGTTAGGCATTTATCATCTCCCACTAAAACAACAGATGTGGAACCAGGAATCTTTCAATCAGAAACATATTCTGATCTGGAAAGTCCATGGGAAAAAAAATCTGGTATTTTATTTATTTGGCCACACTGTGGTATTCAGGAAATCTTAGAAATAAATTTGAAATTCTTAGCTCTGAACATATTTCTTCAAAAACGATGGTGTCTGAATTGGCAACAACTCTTTGTATTTTAATTATCTTATTCTAAATTAAATTTGAAAACATTTCGTTTTAATTACATAAGGAGGGAATTTCTTTGTTTTTTTCAACCACCTATTAATTTAAATCCATATCACATATAACAATTTCCAATGTGACAGGAGAACTGCACTGATTCTTATTGGATTATACCACTTAAATGGGCAAACTTTTGAATACATAGAAGCAGGGTAGAAGGGTTGTTATCAGGGTGGGGGAATGGGAAATGCTGGTCAAAGGTACAAAGTCAAGGTTAGAGGATGAATAAGCCTAGAGAGAGAAATAAACACAGCATGAGGACTACAGTTAATAAGATCTGTGTTGTATTCTGGAAATTTGCTAAGAAAGTAGATTTCACATGCTGTCATCAATTAAAAAGATAACTATGTGAGGAGATGGATATGCTCAATTACTTGACTGCAGAATGTGCACGTATAACAAAACTTCATGTCGTACACCTTAAATATATACCATTAAAAAGTGAAAAATCAGCCAGGCACAGTGGCGCACACCTGTAATCCCAGTGGCTTGGTAGGCTGAGGCATGAAGATTGCAAGTTCAAAGACAGCCTCAGCAAAAGCAAGTTGCTAAGCTAAGCAACTCAGTGAAACTCTGTCTCTAGATAAAATACAAAATAGGGCTGGGGATGTGGCTCAGTGGTCAAATGCCCCCTGAGTTCAATCTCCGATACCAAAAAAAAATGGTGAGAAATAAGTGGATGAACTTTGTGATAGGTAAATCATATCTCAGTAAAGCTGCTAAAACATTTTTTAAATTCATCTTAAAATCTCTATCTGCAACAAAAAGGGGTTCTCCTGTCCAGTGGCTCCTGTATTCTTCCTATAACATAGAGAACACTAGACCAGAGCCGGGGAGGAGGGGGATCACAGTGCCTATAGTAGAATCTTCACGGTATCACTCCCAGGAGCCACTTTACAGCTGTGACCTTTACAGCTGGACACACTCTCATCTGCTCTTCCCGCAGGAGGACTATAATCAGCTGAGGCCGCTCTCCTACCCCAACACCGATGTGTTTTTGATCTGCTTCTCGGTTGTAAATCCTGCCTCTTACCACAATGTCCAGGAGGAATGGGTGCCGGAGCTGAAGGACTGCATGCCTCATGTGCCTTACGTCCTCATAGGGACCCAGGTTAAGATGCGGGTGATGGCAGAGTGGGTGGGCTGCAAGAAGAAAAGACCCTTTAGGTACATCACCAACATTGTGTTCTACCAAACACTGAAAGAGAGGGTCTCGGGACATGTCCCTCCTATGAATGGAAGTTCTTAAAGTGTGCATGAGTAAAGACTTGGAGTTGAAAAGAGAACAGCTATTTAATATGAAGCACTGTTTTAATATGTTCTTTAAAAAATAATCTGTTTTTTAATAACAAAGTATTTTTTTTAAATAGACATTTCTCCAGCCCTGAATCAGAGTAATAAAACAAGGGCAGTAACTGCACATATCTAATACTTTTGCAGCTAAAATCCACAATTGTTTTAAAATTCAAAATAGGTGTGGGTGTCAAAATGACCCTGGCAATCCAAATGAGCACATATGACAGAATTCCTTGAAAAGAAAGAATTCCTGGAAATGGAAGACAGAAATTCATGACTTTATTGTCTTTAAATCCCTTGATCTTCAGATCTTAGAAATGAAGCTAAAACACACATGCCAGACCTTTCTGGACTCTAAAGACCTTTAAAGTATTTTGAAAGCTAATGAAGTTGCATAGTTTGAATTTCTGAGTCAGTTGCACAAATGGATCAAAGATGGTCCTGATTTTTTTTTAATATTTATTTTTTAGTTATAGGTGGACACAATATCTTAATTTTATTTTTATGTGGTGCTGAGGATCGAGCCCAGTGCCTCATGCATGCTAGGCGAGCACTCCACCTCTGAGCCACAACCTCAACCCCTGTCCTGACTTTTTGTACTTTTAAAAGGATTTTGTTTTTTGCTTTCTCAAAATCTAAATTACTATTCCAAAGTCATAGGAATGTAATGACTCTGGGGACTTTATGGTTTTCCGTTTCATATGCTGTTTCTTTCTATTTCTCACTTTACATTCTGCTTGACAAAGAAAAATGGCTTATTTTAAGAGGAAAAAGTTATATCAGTGTACATGGCAGTGAAATCATAAGTTTGTCAAGTATGTGTTTTCTTACACACATTTGTGTCTCATCATGGAAATTAAAAAAAAATTAACACCAAAAAAAAAAAAAAAAGAAAAACATCGCCTAAGGAAGACATGGACCGATACAGAGTGTATGTGTTTATTTGAACAGAGACAAAGTAAAAGATTCATTTATCCATAGATCCTGGCACACAATTGATGCTTCCGCTCTGAAAGACAATCATTTGTTTTTGTTGTTGTTGTTTTTAGTGTTTTTTTTTTAGATGTTGATGGACCTTTATTTTATTTATTTATTTGTTTGTTTTTATGTGGTGCTGAGAATCAAACCCAGTGCCTCACATGTGCCAGGCAAGCACTCTACCATTGAGCCACAACCCCAGCCACAGCAAAATTTAAAGGAACCAAAATACTTTATTAAACTATCAAACCTAACAAATGCTCCCTTCAAGGCAGTTCTGCTTTTGAAAAGATGCTTCATTAAGCCGAACCCTTTGGAAACTCCTCCTGGGGACCTGCCTTCTTGAGCATGCAGTCCATTTGTTAGAAGAGTCAGAGAGGCAGCAAATCTTCATCCATTTGAGGGTGAATATTTGATATGGAAAAGCAAAAAACAGTGTCAGGAAATAGGCTATTAAATAATGAGTAATAGAAATTGGGATCTGATAAATCATCCCTGAAAGGTAACAAAAGTGTCTGGTTCTTGTGTGTCCTATTAGTGGAAACTGCAAATAAATACACAATTTCAAAAGCACTAGACACTAGTATCACTGGAATAAGCCACTGCACTCAGAGCAACTGCTCTGAAAGAGCAAGTGTAAGGATATCCAGGTGTGGCCGAGTGCAGATCACTTTACCTTTTCGACCTAACCTGGGCACACACACATGCTTTCTTAAAGAAAATTCAGCAACTTCAAAGATGTTCAGGAGAAAGAAACTATGTTGGCAGAGTTTAAAATATTTGGCAGGCCCTGAAAAAATGAATGACTTTGTCTCATGTGTGTTTTGCCAGATTGATCTCCGTGATGACCCCAAAACCTTGGCCCGCCTACTATATATGAAGGAGAAGCCGCTCACTTACGAGCATGGAGTGAAGCTTGCAAAAGCGGTACTGTTAATTTTTAATTCAGCTTTAAGTGGTTACTAGAAAAGAGCAGGGTGTGTGCTTTTGGATGGGCAGGTTCCATAAGGGTGTGCTTTAAACTGCAGCATGTTTAGAATCCTCTCTCTGCTTTGTATCCTCCCCTCTGTTCTAGAAAGACTGGAGGGGCCATTTGGTTAGTGTTCCTGTCAGCCAGTATTGTCTGTTTTTCATTAAGACAGAAACTCTGTGAATTTAAACAGCCAAAGCACTTACCATTTTGATTTAGCAACCTCTAAAAAAAGGTTACCCTACAAAATAGTTGTCATATTTAGAATGAATTAAAGGGAGTCATTAGATGTCTGTTTGTAAATCTCAGTGCTTATTATCAACATAACTCATCTAAATGACCCTTGCACGGTATTTTGTGATTTTTCTTGGAAGAGACTTAGATTCAGGTTACATTTATACACTATTTCTCATTATATAATGAGTAGCCACTTAGAAAGGCTGGGTTGTGTTACAACAGCGTCTGGAAAAAAATAACATACACCAAAAAGTAACTAGTTGAGGAATCTAAGCAGTTGCTCAACAAAAAGGCAACTTACCCAGAGCTGAACTATTTTCATAGACCTTTTTTCAGTCTTGAAATGTGGAGTGATTTTGTTGGGAGAAATGCTTCAGCAAGTATTTGCCAGACACCAAATCTCTACCTCTCCATTATCACCAAGATGTGTGCAAAGCAGCCAGTAAAATAGACACAAGAAAACGGAAGTACTTTGTGCAAGAGAAAGCTTATAAATCACATTTCCATCATTTGAATCCCTTCCTCAATGATTTAGTCTCAAACTCATCAACCCAAGTAGGAGGCTTTAAATTTTTCTGTTTTACTTTGTAAGTAACTAACCCTTCTAGATACATGCCCCCCAGCAGTTCATCACCCTCTCTAAGCTAGTGGAGAATGAGTTCTTCATCAATAAAAATGTACACATTTCTCATATTAAACCTTGTTTATAGGCACCACAAAGGAATGTGATATACTTAACTAGAAGCAAATTAAATAAAATTGTGTTTTTATGGCACAAAGCATGAGAACGTCTCACGAACATGTGAAGTCCCCACTCCTGCACAGTCATATCAATGTCACCAGGACCAGCCACTCAGAGCTCTTAGGATGCTGAACATTTCACAAATTCCACCTCACTGCATACTCTCTTTAGTGGACAGTGTTCCTCTCATAGTACAGGTGAGGAAATAGTGTCTTGGAGAGACAAGTGTGTTTGATTCACACCATTCAACCTACCAAAGTCAGAAATCCTAGTGGCACACGCATGTGATCCCAGTGGCTCAGGAGGCTGAGTAGGAGGATCGTGAGTTCAGAGCCAACCTCAGCAACTTACCAAGGCCTTAAGCAACTCAGTGAGACCCTGTCTCTAAATAAAATACAAAAAAAAAAAAAAAAAAAGGCTGAGGATGTGACTCAGTGATTAAATGCTCCTGGGTTCAATCCCTGGTTCCAAAAAAGAAAAAGATTCTAATCCAGCTCTGGGGACATTGTCACCTGAGCACCTGACCCTGTGTAAACTGTCCATTCTTCAACCATTTACTTTTCTTCTGGGAAAATAAGTATGGATAGATTCTGCTACCTTTTCCCTAAACATTCTGCTTCAAATGTTCTCATTAACACGTGTGAATACATAGCCCCATAAAAACCTGGGTGGGTTCGGAGCAGGAGGTCCCCAGCGGCTCAGCACCAGCTCCCTGCAGGAGTTTGGTCTCCTTGCTCCCTGCCTCTGAGCCTGTCTTCCACCTTCGACCTGACAGCTGCCTAGCCCCACTTCTCACTTGCCCAGTTGTTTCTTCCCTCTGAAAAGAAGTCGCTCCAAAACCTCCCATCTCATCTCAGACTTATTTCAGAAACAATGGCTGAGTGCACCACTCCATCGCCTTCTGCGAGCTTCTCCTAGCAACTGCTCTCAGGTACAGAGAGAATCGTGTTTCGCTTACAAAACCCAATTTAGAAGAAAACCAAGCGAGATCTTAACTTGTTTCATCACAATCCGTGTAATTATAGAGATGCTTTAAGTTTTTCTACTCTTTGACTTTTCTGTCAAGTAGTTTATGGGAACAGCCAGTGTTTATGGAGTGTTTATCATGCACTGGGCCGCGTGCCAAGCACATCACAGGCTTCGTCTTAATTAATCCTCACAGCCACCGCCCCCCCCAGGTGTGTGTGTTGTTATCTCTACTTGCCTGGAGGAAACTGAGGCTCAGAGAGGGGAAGCGCCCAGCTAGGAGGCTGCAGTGCTGGGACATGGGGCAGTGCTTTAACCGCGGTCTCTTCCGCCTCCTTCCTAGAGCCTGACATGAAACCCTGAGTTTGGGGCGTCTGTCTTCATGTGCAGAAGACTCTGATTTCACTGTGCAGTACACTCCTCAAAACTTAAAATGCTTTGCGAATTCAGAGTTCTCATACCTGATTCTTTTTGTTTGGTGTTTTTCATCCATCATCTCTTTTTTGTCCCAAAGGCCATTTTATTTTTAAAGGATGTTTTCATAATATCCATATTTGCCATCCTTCACACTCCAAAGCCAACCACGTTCACATAAATATTTTGCATCAATTTCTAATAAACATTCCTTGTTACCCTTTAACTTGTTCTATCCTTCCTTGTCTTTCAATTATTGTGTCTCTTAAGTTTCAGCCTACACATGCGCAAAGGTCCATTTTACTACCAGATTTTTTTCAATAATAATTGATTAAACACCTACTATGTGCCTCGTGTTATGTTACACATTAGCTCTAAGATTATGGTACTCTGTGCGTTCTCTGTCTCAGTTCCATTCCATACAACCTAAGCAGGATTTTCTAAGTTCAGACTCCCTGAGGTATTCTTGACATGTTCCTATTTTTCTTTATTCTCTTTGGCCTCTCTTTGCCCTCTCCTGCCATGGTCTTCCCCTGGTATCTTTTGTTCTTATTGTCACTCTAACGTCATACCTGTTACCTGTTGGGTTTCTGATACACACAGGTAGAATTTAAAGCAGAAAAAAAAAATGCTATAACAATGTTCAGTCAATATTAATCAACTGGAGTCTTTATACCCTCCTCCTGAATGCAGGATTTGTAGCTCCTGCCTTCCTGTTTGCCCTGCGGTCTTCAAAGGCCACCACCTCACCACTGGTATCTGAATGCCTGAGGCCCACAGGCTGGAAGAGGAGGAGACACGTGAATGCAAATTCTAAAGCAACAGAGAGCAGGGAGTGACTGACATTCAGAGAAGGAAGATTCAGAGATTTCTTGAAGCAGTTGATATCTCTGTCAGGCTTCATGAAGGATAAGGATGAGTTCATGCAGTAGACAAAATTAGGGGACAGGAGACAAAAATTCCAGACCAGTACCTTCAAGGGCATCCTTTAAAGCACAAAGAGCAAAGTGGCAACTGATGGGCCAAATTTCACCCACAAATATCTTGATCAGCCCCATGGGTACTTTTAATGCAATCCAGGGTCCAACATTTAATCACTTTGGAAACTTTGCATAAATATATGTTGTTTTGGCGTCTTAAAAAAAAAAAAAAATTTTCAAAACGCCTGGCAACTCTGGGACAGTATTTCCTCATCAACTGAAACTTTTAAATAGTCAGACAAGGTATGTACCCTTCAATCTACCACAATCCCCAAAGCTGAATGGTTAAGATTCTGGCTCAGAAAAATGGACAAAAGCTAATTTCTGCCCTTTCTTAGTTGTATGGACATAAACAGGTACTTTAACCTCTCTGGACATCAGTTCTCCGGGCTATACCTCCGTCTCCACCCTTTTCTTGAAAACATGTCAGTTTGGTAAAGCATGCTCCAGATTGCTAACATGTGGATCTAAACAAGACCCTGTATCATGAGGGTGGTGATAGACTTGCCTTGCAAAGTTCTCGTGGTGGTGAAATGCAGTCATGTTCCCCAAGCTCTGGGTCAGCAGGCTATGGCTGTTAAATCGGTGCAGCCCTTCAGACAGCTGGGAAGGCCTCTCTGCTTTTATCTCTTCCAGTTACTTTCAATCCAACACTACTACATACCCCACCAACACCACGACGATCCAGAAGAATGAATGGTTTTTACTTGATTAGTCATCAAGGTCATCAGTGGGCTTGTTGTTGTTGTTTAATTCCTTCTAGTCAGACTCTTGGATCTTCTGTACCTCTGTGGCATGTTTCCCAGGTTTTGAAACAATAAGCTTTAACCACTGTAAAAGTATCAGAAAAGGGTTCTCTCTGTTGATATCCTCAATCTCCACCTTTTTCTTGAAAACATGTCAGTTTGGTAAAGCATGCTCCAGACTGTTAACATGTGTATCTAAACAAGACCCTGAGCGCTTACAGATGGATTCTACATATTTCACTGAGTAGGTCATTTTGTACCAAGAAACAGATGAAGTCACTGCTGTAAGAAAAGCCATATTTCTATGAGCCAGCTTTCCATTTCACACCTTTGAGAACATACATTATTTTTCCTCCCCGCAATCCCTCTAACAGGGGCTCTGCCTTTTCCCTGAACCAGGATGAATTCTTCTCTCTGACCCTCAGAGTCCTTGAAACGTGGTAACAGTACTTACCTCATAACTGGGTTCTGTTTCTCACACATACTTCCCAAATCACACCCCAAATCTCTTGGCTACTTTTCCTGGAACTATCGGTACAGCCTGATGTTATGTTAACCTTGTTACACAATAATGTCTTTATCTACTATTTCATTATCTTCAGTAAAGTTGGAATTGGGAGAGACAAGTTTGGGCTCCTCCTGCATCATCAAAGGCAAACTCTAACAAGCTTATCCACAGCACCATGGGGACAGAGGACAAAGTTCCCTGCCTATCTTGCAGGACCCCCAGTGTAAACCTGGCTCAACCAGGCTTTCCTGAAATTTCCAGAATCAGACTAAGGCTTGTGATCATTAGTGGAGAGGTTTCCCAGATAGAACATTACCACAGCACTTTCTAGGTATTTTTTCAGCATGACTGACACAAGCTGTCCCATTACAAGCAATAACTCAGCTGGCACATTGGTTGAACTTCCATCTTAACCAATTAGCATATCAAGTACGGACACAATCCATCCCGCCCCCAAAAAAGTTGACATTATTAGGAAATTTTTCTTCACTCTTTATTCCCCTTTTGTACCCTACTATTTTTATTTATTTTCTTTAAAAGTTATTTCCTAATCTAAAGGCCGATTGAAAGCCATAAAATAGGCTTTCCATCGATGATTTCAATACCATGCTTTTGGTATTTTCATTTGGTTCACACAGTGACTAACATCTATTAGAGACATTAGGAAATAGTTTCTGGACCCAATCAAAACAAAATTATTTCATTCTCAGTCTCTATAGCTGTGGCCTTTCAAATAAGAGAGCAACCTGGTTCACTAAGTGTCAACTTGACCAGCTTCTTGCAGAGCTGAGCCATAAAGGTTACAGTTACGGTCATGGAACAAGGAAAAGAACACATATCAAGAGACCCAGAGTTTAGGTCTAATTTTTCACTTTCTAATTTAATCCCTTCCTGGGGCTGTTCCCACTCTTGTTGAAGCTAAACCTCCGTTTTTCTTTAGTTCACACACTGCAGGTAACAGTCAAATACATCCTATATCAGAAGGCACACAAAAGGTTTTAAAAATTGGTAAATATTAATTAAAAATGTAGGTGCTAGGGTTATGGATCTATGGTAGAGTGCTGGCCTTGCATGTATGAGGCCCTGGGATTGAGACCCTAGCACCAAAATAAGATAATAAAATTCCCAATTTCCAACTCCTCTTGAAAAATACAAAAATGGGCAACCATCACCCAACATTCTCACATGGAAGCAGAATAAGACTGACTGCCCTAGAGGTGACGTGTACTTTACAGTCAGTCCACCATAGTCCCCACTTCTCCCTATTGCCTCACACCAGCCCTGATTTCCTTACTTATGTAAATTATTGGTCCTAATAGACCTATGATTTTGCTGCCCCATTTAACCATTTATCAGCTATAGTTTCCAAGAGCTTGCCATCTAGTCAACCTCTTCTTGAATCTGCTTTAATTTTTTTCGAAGGTGGTCTCCTAATGTGAAGCAAAAACTAACACATGTATTTCTCCAGATGTCCTTAATAATAAGAGGCCAACATCATGTTGTTGGCTCATACTGAGCTCATGAGCCATTTCTATCTCAGGTCTCCTACATTGAGGCTGACTGCCAAACCTGGTCTTCATGGCCTGTGATTTTCTTAATGAGAATCTATAGCTTTGGCCTGAATGTCTGTTTCTCATAGGAATTTTGTGATTATTAAATACACCATGGAATGACATCATTACAAAGTTTTCAAGTAAAGCCCCAAACAAGTACCAAACACTTACCATTTACATATACAGACCGTGCACTAATGAGGAAGATGTCTCCCTCAGCAAATGTATCTTATGATTTTTTTAAAAATATTTTTATATATTTTTAATTTCTTAAAATTTAAATTTTTAAAAAATTTTTTAAATTCTTAAAATGTTTTTAAAGTATGTTGAAACCAAATGATAATGCCAATCAGATATTACCTTCTTGAGAGATAGCTTATCCAAAGTATTTTAATCAAGGATGACCTAGAAATCCTATGCACTCTTGTCAGCCAATGTTGATTCTGCTTTACTTCATCCAGGAGATGCATTTCACTTGAACTTGACTTCCACACTGCAAGCAAAAGAGAGGGTGCTAAAAACAATATCTTGTGGTCCTGTTGTTCACAACATACATTCAAATCATATCACAGTTTCAAATCCTCTCCTATTATATTTTCCTGTTAGGAAAAAATGTTGGTAGATCATTTTCAGAATTATTGTTTACCAAAAACGATCCACAACCATTTATTGTTAATATAAGACTATAAAAATAGAAAAAGATTAGGATTGCAGATGCAAATTGAAATGCAGAGGGGAAAAAAAAAAAAAAAAAAAACATAATCCAGAACAATCCCCAGGCTGCTTGTAGGGCAGGCAGAGGTAAGGCCTGGCTGGGCCGAGGGTTGACCCACAGAGCTTTGCCCTTCTTTTCCTGCTCAGGCCTGTCTCTCTTTCTGTATTTAAGATCGGAGCACAGTGCTACTTGGAATGCTCAGCCCTGACTCAGAAGGGTCTCAAAGCGGTTTTTGATGAAGCCATCCTCACCATTTTCCACCCCAAGAAAAAGAAGAACCGCTGCTCACAATGTCACGGCTGCTGTTCCATCATCTGAAGCTGCTGGAGACTCGCCTCCACCCCACCCAAGGGTGCAACAGCAGCCAATCTCTGCCACCCAGCTCCAGCCAAAAAGGAGGGCAGGACCAGAAATGAATTCCCTCTCACCAAGGCCGCCCCACCTGTGAGCTCCCCAGCACAGCCTCCCAGTCAACCAACTGCCACGTCCCCCGTCCCCCGTCCCCGCCCCGGCCAGAAGCACCCACGCCGCACCCCGGACGATAAAGCGGAGGCGGATTTCAGACAGTGTCGCTGCCGAACACCTGGGGAACAGTCAAGGGCCACCTCGCCCTTCACCTGCCCCTCCCACAAGCACAAAGCTGATGGGAGAGGAAGAGCTCAGTTCCTGTATTGGTGGCCTTACATCTTTTACAAAACTCGGGAATATAAAAAACCAACGTTTTCTTCTGAATCTGCTGTTTTACCCATGCGTGTTACGTTCCTTTTGCATTATTTCAAGAAATTTCCTATTTTTTTCAATTCACTCAGGCCTTACAAATCCATACCAAAGCAGCCTAAAGACAAGATGGTTGATGTTCGCTTCTATTTTCAGCATGTTTCTACCAAAGTCCTTGGAACCAACATGTACCTCTGAATGCTGATTATAAGAGAACTTTAAAACTTTTCAAAATTTACAGAGTAATACCTTTTGAGGGAAAAAAAAAAAAAAAACACCATCTGAATTATTTTGCAGATCCACATTTTGGCCAAAAATTCACTGTGAAAGGGCTTAAGTTGATAAGTGACCTGTTTTTTTCCACCTACTATTGCCAGCCAGGGCAAACTAAAAATGAACTGAGTTAAGAAAGAAGTAATTCTGCTTTCCTTCCAAATGGCATGAAGGAAGGGTATGGCAGAACCCATCTTTTCAAATATTAAGCAAAATGGACTTCCCTGCTTCCTGCTCCCCTCCACCATTACATGTTCTTTTCCTCCTTGATTTTACACTTTCTCCTGTGCCCAGTTCCTTTGTTCTTCCCAGTCATAACCTGACCTAAAAGAAAGAGCTGGACATTGGACATGAAAAAGCAAGTGTTTCAAAAATCTCCCGGTTCAAGCAAAGTGCCTCGATTTTTCCACTTGCTTAGACAGACCGAAGGTGCTTCTAGCTTGCACCATGGACGCTCCTGTTCCATTTAAATGACATTTTCCAGTTACAGCAGGCAGTAAATTACTGCCTCTCTCTCTCCATATTCATTATTCTAAAAGTTTGTCTAGGAACCAGGTTTGTGAATACCAAGCTCTGAATCATTTTTCCAAATGATGCATTCCAAGGACTTTGGCTTAGGAGAAGAAAAAGCTCGCAGTAGGGGGATCTTGTGACCTTCCTATATGACAATTCCAAACATCCAGAAATTCTTGCGTCACAGGGAGCTACTTCCTCCCTTTTAATTAGAGAATAAGATGGCTTCTAATTAGTCTTATTTGCTTTCACGTGCCCTGGAATAATCCAGGTAGTCACTTGATCATTTTATATTATTGCATAAGCAAAGCCTGTTTTTGCAGTATGAAATATATCAAATTTTTTTCATATTCAAGCTGTTGAAAAAATCCAGTGTTTCTGTCCCTTCTGCTCCTAGAAGAACCACATAGAAAAGAATTGTATTATGAGTCTTTTCTCTTAAGATCTTTCATGATACCCCTTCAGTCTTTTGTTTTTATTGGTTAATTGGTTGGTTAGTTTAGAATTTCTGAAATGTGTTTTCCTTTCTTCCACATTGCAAGTGTTATTTTTCTTTTCTCCCATCTAATTGCTAGCATTTTCTTAAACACACACACACACACACACACACACACACACACCACCACCACCACCACCACCACCTAAAAGGAAACAGGAGCTTTGTAAGTCAAAGCTTGACATTTAGAGAACATGAGGACTTTCTGCCTTTGTAAATGGAAATCAACCATGTATGAACTATAGCTGCAGAGGTTATGAGTTCATCCTTTACAAACAATAATGAGCATTTAGCCCTGTAATAAAGGAAGTGTTGTTAGTCAGTTTTGTTACATTATTGCATCACTACATCTTGCTAAAAGGCCACTCCTTACTTCTCATTGATGTGGATGAAAAATTGAAAGCAGTACATTAGCTCCACCAGAGAGAATTTTCCAGATGTGTGCACAGGCACATAGCTCCCCAGGTCATCACCTCCTTAGTGGGCCACTGGGATGAAAGCATTCACAGTGGGAAGATCACTGTCACACAGAGCCGGAGCCTGGACAGAGAGAGACTATTGGTGTCGGAATGGAATACAGACTCCTCCAAGAGGCCTTAGGAGTCAATTACCAAGTAGAACAAAGCAACCCAAGTGAGTTAGCATCCCACCAGATCAGTCATTCATTCCCTCTTTTATGGCAAGATCTAATTCATTTCACTAGAAAGTGGTTTCTGCTGTAAGATGAAATGGAATGCTCTGAAACCACAAATATAAAAAGACATAGAAATCGGAAGAAGGATCTTTAATGGTCCACGCTGTCTCCCAAAGTCAACAAATGGCCGCTGATCTCCATGTGAGGACAGAGTCTTAACTTTTCAGAGCTAGAAATGGCCTCAGAAACTGTAGTCCAGTCCTTCCTGCACAGATGAGAAACTCTACTGCAATGGCCTAAGAGAGGTGTGTTGTGGCAGAGCCAGCACAGATCTTGGCTCTTCTGCTTCCCATCCAGTGCCCTTGAGCCTCAATTGATTCATTAACACACACATTAAGTTGGAGTTTTGTAGGCACATCATTGGAGTTATATCATTTATCCTACAGATCTCATATAAATATTTTTTTTACCATATAAATATTCATATTATTAATAATAATTACAAAATTTATAAAGACATCTAGAAGGTAGCATCCAATGTGATAGATTTTTCACCATATGGAATGCATTTGACAGTACTTTATTCAAGCAAGCTAAGAAAATAATAGTAGAAGATGAAATCTTTAAGGTTACTCTCCAGATACATTTTGAACACACAACTTCTTATAGTTAAGCCACTATAAATAAGATAAGCCATCAAACTACTAAAAAACTGTAGACAAGAATTCAATCTATTTTCTAATATGCCTGAAATCCAAGGTAATCAGCAATGTAATCCCAATCTAATGGTTCAATCAATAGTTTGACAGATTTTTTTTTTTTTTTTTTTTTTGCGGGATGGGGGGGGGACTGGGATTGAACTCAGGGGCACTTAACCACTCAGCCTCACTAAGTTGCTTAGGGCCTTGCTAAGTTGCTGAGGCTGGCTTTGAACTTGTGATCCTCCTGCCTCAGCCTCCCAAGCTGCTGAGTTTACAGGCAAGTGCCACTGCTTCGGGTTTGACAGATTTTTTTTTTTTCACTCAGATGTTTGATTGGTTGGTTGATGGAATTAATGGACTCCTTAGGCTATTTCAAAAATACAGAAGGACTAAGACACAAGTCAAAACCATGGTCCACATAAGAAATCTGGTCTGATTTCTGCCAAGAAAAGTTAGACAATTACTAAAGGTGAGAACTTCAGCAACATTAAACTAGGAAGCACCAAGCTGGGAGGTCAAAAGTAAGTCATACACATGTGGCAAGAAGGCTTTGGTACTGAAACTTTGATGGCAATATGTCTGTTTATGATATGCAAAGTATCTTTTGGAAGATGTGCAATCCATCAGAGAAGTGGGTGCAACCACACACAATGTTCATTAGACCCCCAATAGGAAAATAGTATTAGAATGGTAGCAAAAGAACACTCACAATTTTAAGAGAAAATAAAGAAAGCTAAATCCAAAATTCGAATCCAACAAAAAAAAAATTGGTCAATGTTTAAAGTTGAGCATCTTCAAGAATAAATACATTTACTGTCATGTAACTAAAAAGAACAAATAAAATTTTTTTAAAAGAAGAAAAAATATATTTGACTTGAGGCAAGCATCCCCAGATGCCCTATGACATTCATAAATGCAAACTCATTCATGACACCAAAGAGATTCCAAATTGAGGGTTTATTTTAAAAGCATACTTGACATCATGCTGGAGATTTTTATCTAACCAGTTATATGTTCATTTTTAAAACCCACCCTTGTTTAGCTGCCAGGATTTGAAATCTGCATTCACTCTCAACAGAGAGAACCAGAGGGCACCAGCTGTTTGGAGAGTCACTGAGTATGCTGTCCAAGTATCAGTAAGAAAACTGCACAAGATAGTGTCGTTTCCAGGACCCTTAGAAACAGAAAGGAAAAGAGAAGATCAGGGAAAACTGAATTTCTTAGGAAAGAAGTTAGGAATTTTAGAAAAAGGTAACAGGATGGAGAGGAAGCCCCAACCAAACACAAGGCAGAACACACACCTGAGAATCCTCCTGGAGAGTGGTTGACTTCTGCCTGGTCTCTAGAGGCAGAGGGAGGAATGGACTGTGATTGTGAAGAGCACTCCATGATCATCAGGGCTCCTCGGGTCACGATCCTAGGGGATTCCACTCATGATTCACTACAGATGAGTAAAATTCTGGACCATGTTCTTTGGGTCTTTAATAGCAGGATGGGAGCTCAGCCTCTCACCATCTCTGTTTATATAGAACATGCAGTCAAGGAAAATCAAGAAATATGATTGAACAAATGAAAGTTTTCCTGAGCTTGAACATGACTTAAAAATCTGAAAAGGGTGAACTTTGGAATATCTGGAAAAACAAATTCCTTGTGTGCATGGTATTTATGCATCTTCAATGGGGTATTTCCAAAAGAAAGATTGTATTTAATAGGTACAAGTGCAATCGCATATGATAAAGCAATAATTTATGGTGCTTCAATGGCCAACAAAGACCAGAGCACCAAGCTCTATCTTCAGCATCACTTCAGCCATCAGGGGCTCCGCTGTGCTCTTTGGGTGTCCCTTGGGGTCAGGGAAACAAAGAGTCAAAGAGAGTTTGGCTCGTCTGTGAAATGGTGGGGTGCAAATCACCAACAGTTTTTGCCTTTGAAATTCCACTACAGGAAATTAGAGTAAAAACTGCATGATTAATTTTGGTCACAATATATTTCTTCTCCCTTATGGGGGA